GCACGTGGGGAACTGTGGGGCGCCCCTCACGCCCCCACCTGCTACACTCGTCGGTACCCGAGCCTGAGAGAGAGAGAGACAAACAGACAGAGATCAGGAGAGAGATAAATTGTCCTCGTTACTGAACTCACTTTATACGTGTAAGGAGACATCACCCATCCTCTTCTCTCATTTCTCTTTCCTTACAGAGTGAGCGCGGGATAACGCGACCAACTTGGAATTGGCTCAACACCCTCCAGAGAGACGCAGACAACGAAGACGGCTGTTTCGATCATGTTGGGAAAGTTTACCACAATGGCTTAAGGGTAAGGAGACAATAGTTCTTCAGTGTCATTCTCCTTTATATAATATTACTCTAATCCTGATGCGTAGTGGTTATATGCATGCTTTATCACATGTGTCTCCCTCCCTTTTACATCGAGATTGCGCAGTAAGCGCTCTGTCCTCCCCCCTGCTAAACCCAAACTTACACGAATGCAATTTTCACGACCGATTTACAGAACGAGACGACTGGAAATGTGTCTCGGGTTCTTCTGACGGCCTACACGATGGTCTCCCTAGGAATCAGTGCTTGGGATGGTCCGCCGCACATTGACCCCTTCAAAGCTCGGGACTGCATCTTACAGCACAAGTCCGCAGACCCCTTCACCCTGGCAATCAAGGCCCATGCTCTGGGAGTTACTCACTTTGAAGAAAAGTATGGTGTACTGACTGAGCTCTTCAAACTGGCAACCGAGACGGAGGACTACATTTATTGGGATATACCAAATGATAAATGTATGTCATTTTACTAATCTCACATCAATTTCTCTCTCTTTATCTATCTGTCTGTCTGTCTCGCTTTCTATCTATGTATCGTTTTCCCCTCTCTTATATGTAAGCCATTTTAAATATAAAATACCTCCCTCTAATCAGAAATAAAAGACGCGTTTCCCTTTCAGACGGGACCAATTCAGAAGCGGTGCAGACAGCCAGTTACGTCGCCATGGCAATCATGACAACTGATTATGATAGGAAGTTTGAGGCAGAGTTAAACAAAGTGATTCGGTGGCTCGCGGCCCAAGCAAACAGCCGCGGTGGCTTCAACTCCATATTCGTGAGTGGCATCTCTGACCTATCTTTGTGTAGCGGGCGATTTCTGGTGCAAAGAAAAGCATATTTGCATGTAATTTATTCCATTGTTTCGTCGCTTTTCCTTCCTTTGTTTTAATCTATTATATCCCCGGATTCTGCCAGGACACAATGATGGGCGTGAGAGCTCTGCTTTATTACGAGAGGCGAGCCTTCGAGTTCGACGTGGAAGCAAAGGTGATGGCAGAGGGAGTCGACCGTACTTTAACCTTCACCATAGACAACTTCCGTCAAATACAGCGTGTGGATTTCCCAGTTCTTCCTGCCAATGTTCAGCTCGACGTGTCAGGAAACGGATGTGCATTCCTCCAGGTGAGGAATATGTAACACTTACTTAGTGGCGTTTGTTTGCATGAGGCTTATCAGCTTTGCCTATTGAAATGCGGGGGTAGATATGAGTGTACGAGGATTCATAAGAGATTTGCTCTCTCTTATACATCACTGTCTCTTCAACCTGCCATCTGTAATCCAGATATTTTTGTTAAAAGTTTCTTCGTATCTGTTTCCACAAAGGCTGTGGTCCAGTACAGCGTAAACGACCATTACAACAGTGAAGACTTCAGCCTGGCCGTCAGCAGCAGCGCGGATGCGAATGTCTGCGGAGCGAGTCGCATCAACGTCTGCACGAGCTACCTCCCGAAGAGGCAGTCCAACCTGATCGCCGTTGAGGTCGCCCTCGTGTCGGGTTACACTCCATTCAAGGATGACCTCGAAGCACTTGTTAGCAGCGGGAACGGCGCCTTCACCGAATACGAAATTAAGGGAAACAAAGTGGTCTTGTACATGGCCAGCCTTTCAGCCGAGGAGGCTTGCGCGGACTTCGGCGTGGTTCGTGAGCTGGAGGTCGAGGAGGCCAAGCCGGGCGTCGTCGTGGTCTACGACTACTACCAGCCGGAAATCGCCAAGAGCAAGGTAAGCCATGTTAAAAATCAGTGAATTGAGATGATAATAAACATGTCATTACTTCCACGAATCATCTGGAGTGAAAGTTGTCACACTTTATAGAAGTTAAACACATTTTGCAAGTGCTACACTTTGCATTCCGTATATCAACTGGTTTCATTCATTCTTTTTCTAGAGTTACACGATTTCTTCGGCAAATGCATGCACCAGGAACTAGTGACAGATCGGATCCTACCATCTGCAACAAAACAACAAAAAAAATAGTCTCATTTCCTGAGACCTGACTGAGCTTCAGCTCCACCCAGCACGGTTTCTGACTTAATGGTCCTACTGCAGCCCCATCAGAGGAGGTGTGTCGCAGTGACAAGCACATATTGCATTGCCGCGATTGAGTGATATTGCAAAATCTATTCAAAATGTGACTAATAATATTACTAGATATTTTAAAATAAAGGCATATGGTATA